AAGCAGCCAGATTGGGTAAAATAAAATATGTAAAAACAACAATTCATTTAATTTAAATAACAACCCCTAATTATTCGGTCCACAATGGAATGACATGCCGGGCACGTTATCGGTACTCTTACTTGAGTACCATCTCCATTAATAGAGAATAACTGTTGAGAGACAAATGCCCTCAAACACCAAACACCTACTACAAAACACGGGGTGGCCACAGGGGGTGCAAAGCCTCGTGGGCTGCATAACACCGCAGAAGCGGAGCGGCGCGGCGGTTCGATGACCAGAGCGTCCAGTTTTGCGAGCAAGAGAACAAAGAGCTTGCGTTCCTTGAAACCCAAACAAAGACTGATGTGTTGGGGTGCGAGCTTTCTCTCGGCGGCAGGGCAGGTAGCTGGTAGCTACAGCCGCGACAAGGGTCACTGCAGTTGTAGCTAAATAATATCATCGACGCATTGGCGGTGGTGGATATATATTGTTAAAATAAAAATGAATTATAATAATTATCATAGTTCAATGTCCTAATTAAGAGCTTAATTTTTACGCAAAAACCTTATATCAGACAAATGTGCTTTATGGACAGATTTCACGTTTAAGTCCCTACCACGTGCAGCACTTGGTTTTTTTTAGCAAATTTCCCTATAGGAAATCAATAGTTTCTTAGCAAACGTATTGACTGTTTACAATTAACATATGTTCTTCTTCTCACTTTTAGTTTCTGCCAACAGTGGTTGGAATTTCATAACAGTGTTTGTTTCCCATGTTAATCTTATGGAGAAATACGAAACTTTAAAGGACCTCTGGGCCTCATTCTCTAATTATTTCCCTAAGCAGAAGGTTTCCTGCACAACTTCACGTTACGCTCTTTCCAATGATACCAAAAACATGCCAATCGGTTCAGTAGTTTCGGAGGATTAATTGTCACAAAAAACCTGCTTGCGTATTAAATAAGTAATCTTACTAATATTATAAATGTGAAAGTTTGTGTGTTTGTTTGTTTGTTTGTTTGTTTGAAGTTCAATCACGCACAAACCACTGGACGGATTGGGCTGAAATTTGGCATTATGATAGCTCACATTCCCGATTAACATATAGGCATATTCTTATCTCAAAAATCCTTTCGGGCTCCGCCCCAGTGGCTCTGTACTTCCCCATGTTAACCTTATGAGTATTCATATTTAAAGGGAATTTAAGAATTTAGTCAGCTGTTTCAACTTAAAAAGTTGGTTCTATGATATGGAAAAGCATTAAAAAGTTATAAGATTTACCAACAGGGAGCAGCACTATATTTTTTTGCATTTATGAAAACAGCTCTTTTTAATTGAGCAGCAATAAAAAACTGTGATACGCAATGAGAACTAACTTTCAAAGTAGGATTGTTTACAGTTAAGTTTATGTTTTTAATTTCATGAATAATTTGTGATATTTTGTGAATTTGTGATAATTTTTTCTCTCTATTGTTTAGGTGAAGTAGTATACGTGTAATACTATATAGAATACTGAAAAATTTAAAGAATCATATTTTATCAAACTTTGTCCTTCTCCATTGCAAACGCAAAGCTCGAGTATAACAGCAATAAGCCGTTTATACTTAAATGCCAACCCCGTACGAAGGACGGGTATTCTGCTAGTAGATAGATATACTGTTATAGTGTCTCTGTTGCTGTTTTCTTTTTAGTATATCAATTCATCCAGGCTCTCTCTCTTTTTTCTATTGTAATATTTGCGCCAACCCAAATTCAAATCTTTATAATTAATACGCTACATGAAACTTTGTCGGTTGAACTCCTCCGCCATTTCTTAACCGATTTTATCCATTGACGTCTCATTGGAAAGAGCGTGTCGAGTAGATCTGCAAACTGGCCTTACATTTATGAAAAAGTCCCTTAAGCTCTGCCCCAGTGGCTTTAAAGGTTCCCATGTTTTCCTTATGAAGAACATAATTGTTTACATTTTGATCAGCTGTATAATTTAATTGCTGTTATTTATCTTTCAATTCAACGAAACGCATTGGGTTCATTTACTGATTTTGGCTGAATAGAAATGAAATAAATGTACTACTTTAATTTACAATTTAAATAATCGAAAAAGCCTTGGCAATTTGATATATATTACCTCCTATATAATGAAGAACACCTACAGTATGAATATTCCCACAAAAAATGAACAAGGATGTTAGTCGAAGTGTTACTATTTTGTAGGAAACACGGACTTAACTTTATGATTATTGGCAAAGGAAAACACTCTAAGGCTGAATTAAACTTACGGCAAGGACATTAAATATATGTTTTATTAAAAGTCAAGAGATTTAAAATAATATGACTACATCCAAAAAACTTTAATAAAACTTTCATTGAAGGATTTGCATTATTCACATTTAAGGGAAACAAAAAACCATCTAAACAATATTAGACCTTTCAATCCTGCATTTTTTCAGGTAAATTTATCCATTGAGTATACACGTATATAATTGAATATACGTGTACTCAATTATATAACATACGTTATAACAGTAACTAGCCAAATTATTGCCAATTGAAGCAAATACAATTGTGATAGAGAGGTTATGCAGAAAATCAGGCAGTTCTTAAGTAATGTAAACAAAATGTTATCGTTGTATAAAATTACAGAAATTTGTAAACGTACTGGCAACAATGGGTAGTACCATGCAGACTACATTATCATTGACGAAGATCAACATGGACAACCTAATGCGGCTATAAGTGGGAAATATTTGTAGAATACACTAAAAAACTAGATCAGCTTTTGAAAAATTATAAAATATTTACAAGAAATGTTGATTATATGGTACTGTTAGGTACGTGATCTATGAGTTGAGTCTTTTAAACTCATCGGAAATTATGACTTTTATTAGGTTTTAAATAAGTTATTTGTTTTTAAACAACTACCGTACTTTACTTCTTCGCAATTGCCCGATTTCGAGCAACATGTACACTTGTAGTAAAATGTTTCATTTCAACCAAGTGTTTGTAGCAAACTGTTAAACTGTCAAACTTCCATTACTATCCAAACTATCCATTATTTCGTAAATTGCCCTTTAAGGTCATAATTCATTTCTAAAGCGAACTTTCCATATACCTAATGTTAAAAATACCTTAGCTGTACTTATTTGTTTGTTATTCTTTCAATTTATTTCCTTATTAAAATAAGTGTGTTTTTTTTGTATTAGGTACTGTATTCTGTGTTAAAACATGTAGCACATGAAATGGTTGATATCACCCCATTTTTCAGGATTCTCTACGGAGAAAATTCGTTTGAGTAGGTTGGTGTATGTCTCAAATCAAAGAAATAAAATGACTCGACTTAAATTACTTAACACAGGTTATCAGTAAGCCATATAAGGTTTTCTTAAGTTCTCGATTCTGGAAACACTTTGTTGCAGCATGTTACCTCGAATTGAAGCAGATCGTTTAGCATTCATTAGAAGTCATCAGTTAAAACTGAGAGCATAAATACCGGTAATGTAAGTGAGCCTTGATGACGCAAATAGAGATATTTAAAATTAGTTTCTAATAAGTACAATACAATAATTGAAAATATGATGTAATTTTGAGAAATTTTACAAAACTACAACATAGCAGCGCATAAATAAAATATTATTAAAAGCAACAAAGATTAACAATCCATTGATTAAATGAATGGAAAAGGCGTTCCTGTCATCCCACAATACAGCGGAGTTTGCAAAAGGTATACTAGTTTTTGCAGGCGTTGTTTCGTATGGTACTCAGCCATACATATACAATAAGTGCCGGCTATGTATAACAAGCTTTATTTTTACAATGATTTCCTTGTAAAATCAAATAACTCAATTGTTAATATAAGTGTAGTAAGAAGATTCGTTCACTCATATATTATTACAATTAATACAATAATAGCATTCCCCAAAAATTTAAGTTGCCTTTTTTAAAATAAAACTTATTATGATATCTTCTGGCCAAAAGTTTAATTATCGTTCTGATTTTAAAATATTTATTTAACATTGCAAAGTTTAAAGTAAATTATTCACCTACTATAGGAGGGTTTCGAAAAGGGTAATTAACTTCAAAAAATACAAAAGGATTTTTTTATTCTAAGAAAATAAGCAGAAACCAGATTTATTTATCTTAGTAGCAAAAATGCTATACAAATATATAGCACGGGTTAATTTTGTATTAGTCTTACTCTTATCCCATTTAAATACTATAATAATGATAGTATCAATAAACAAATGCATATTAGTTATGTAAAGGAGACTTTGTCCTGACCGCACCAGCCTAACAGATGCGTTGGCCACTGGCAACAAGGTCTACCGGCAGCAAACACGACTACATCCCCTTCACCCGGTTCAGCTCGGACATTTCGCACCATCAATCGTAGGTCAGGTTAATGGTCGTAGACCTTGTTGGCCGCGGACCTTGGCGCGTCCCCATGATAGTTTAATTATATTTAATTCAAATTTAATCTACAAATTATACGTTTTGACAGCGACAGTGATACATATAACAATTTTCCGCGAACAGTTAGATAACATGGTGGAAGGAAAAAACATAGGTGTGCTATTCCCACATATTCTGACGTCACTCGGATTGCAAACAAAAGATCACCTGATTGTAACTGTCAAATTAGTATGTATTTGTTATGATTTGAAACAAAACAATAACAACCAAATCAAAACAAATACATATACTAATTTTACAGTTACAATCAGGTGATCTTTTGTTTGCAATCCGAGTGACGTCAGAATATGTGGGAATAGCACACCTATGTTTTTTCCTTCCACCATGGTTAGATAAGCTATGCTGATGCGCCGGTATGATCTGATCCACGATCCTCCGATCGGCCGTTCCTGGGACTTGCACTGGCAGTCTAGACGCTAGTCACGCCATCGGCACGGAGCGGTGGTGGGGGGTTTTCCGATCTGATCCAGGATCCAGTGATCCTCGTTGCTCGTTCCTCGGAGTTGCACTGGCAGTCTAGACGCTTATGTAAAGTTTTAGTCGAGTAAACCTAGTCACATTTTATTTACTTATTTCACATTACGAGTAGGCTATCCTACCTAGTCTAGTACTTCGTTTGTTCAGTAATCATTAACTTAACTCGTGCCTTATGGCATAGGCCTTAAATGAAGATGAAATCCAAATGAATATTTAGGCTTTTCGATTTAGCCTAATAGCCTAGTTGACTTTTTACTTTGATAGTTACCTACGATCCACAATGGGATTTGGTAAAGGAGGAATGTATCAATCTCGCCTAGAAGAGCTACAAAATCATTTTAAAACTAGAAACAAAATAAGGGAATATTCTGCCCATTCTTCAAAAGTGCATTCTGTTGGTTGGAGCTGTGATGGAAGGAGGTTAGCTTCAGGTTCTTTTGATAAATCAGTTACAATATTCTCGTTGGACAGGGATAGAATGGTGAGTAATAATCAAGTATCGATTACGTTAAGGCCAGGCGCACACAGGCGATTTTGAGCCGCGCAACAGTTGCCCGACTAATCAGGGGACTGTTGCGCAACCCACTCGGAGACTCTGAAGTCTAGCAACAGTTGAGCTGGAGTGCGCACACAGGCAACTTTTTAGTCGTGAATCTTAAGTTTTTAAGATGTAATTAGACATAACATTCGTTAACAGTACCGAATGGATTTCAATGATACAGCCGTAGTAGGCCTATGTGCTTTGTTGTTGAAGTTGTGATTTTTTATTTTATCCGCTTGTGTTAGGTTGTTCCAATCTTTATTAACTGCCAAGGACACTTCATCCCACAACTTCTTCTTCAAATTAATATCCGAACAGTCTTTCAATGACTTAAAATATAAAGGCGGCCTCTTGTCAACTTAATCAATTAATTGTTTGACATTCTCATCACGGAACTCGTATAAAAACTGTACCCAGTAATTTTCTAAAAACTTCACACAACAAAAAGAGAGCAAACACTAACTTAGTGACAGATCTGGCCACGAGTAGTTGAATTCCTTGGGCGAGACTAAACGACACAGCGACAATTTAGTTGCATGTGTGCGCATCCACACTTGGTTCAATGGATACCAAACCTGGAGCGACAGTCCCGCAACAATTGAGTCGCAGAGCAGTCGCTGGCAAATTGGGTTCGGGAACATCGGTTGCAACAGTTGCGCGACTGTCCCTAGACTGTTTCCTTGGTGTGCACACTCCAATTTAAAACAATGTTAAACATTTTATTTATTATTTATTTATTTATTGAACACCAACGGCAAACACCATTTTACATTAAGTAGTTACAAATAGGAAAATAGCTAAACAATATTTAAAACTAATTATTACATGGCAAAACAATGAGTATAGATGTTACAGAGAAATAACAATGTATAAAATATATAACAATAACAAAATATAACAATAAAAAAACATAACAATGAGTATATCAATAACAAGAATACAAACAAAATAGAACACAAAATTAACAAGAGAAAAATCAACAAAAGGAACAAAACAACAGTGCTTTTACGGGGTACCCTCAAGGATGCTGTCAGCTGCAGAACGCCGAACCACTCCCAAGGAGGCAGTAATAAGGTCAACAGAGCTGCTTATCACATTCCCGAGGCGCATAATCCGGGGAAAGGGACTGGATCTGGCGTAGTTGGTCCCAGTATGGTCAAGTTCAAATACACGCTGATGTCTCGTGATTCTCGAAGGAACATGGAAGTTTATCCTTTCCAGCAAGAAGGGGCAGTTGACTTGGTTATTTACCAGTTTGTAAAGAAAGGTCACATCAGCCACTCGCCTTCTGTTTTCAAGACTCGGAATGCCATACAAATTAGAGAGCTCGTCAACCCGGACATCACGAAAGTCAAGTCCAGCACGACATCCCAGGAACCTGATGAAGCGTCTTTGTACCGACTGAAGATGGTAAATATGGCCAAGATGGTATGGTGACCAAACCAAGGAAGCATACTCGAGTAGCTGCAGGATGAGAGACTTGTACAGGATAATACAGGCATGGTTGCTCAAGCCATGTCTAGCAGAGCGGAATACCAATCCGAGCATACGAGAGGCCCTGGTGCAGATTTGGTTTATGTGGGGTCCAAACTCGAAGGAGGAGTCAATTAGAACACCAAGATCCTTGATGGTATTGCATCTCTCAACCCGGTTACCATCAAGAGAGTAGTCAGCTAACACTGTATTTAATTTCCTGCTGAACGTGATCAATTTGGTTTTTGTGGGATTCACAGCCATGTCATTGGAGAGGCACCAGCCAAATACGTCATCAAGGGCGTCCTGCAAGGACTGGCAGTCATGATGGGATGCAACTTCAACGAGTAGCTTAATGTCATCCGCAAATAGAAGAAATGGGACTTTGATGACCTTCTTAATGTCATTAATAAAGATGGAAAACAAGAACGGTCCAAGATGAGACCCCTGAGGAACACCAGAACTTGCAGCGAAGAAAGAAGAGACTTCAGAACCAAGGCGTACAGCAAGCCGTCGATTGGTAAGGTAGCTCTTAAACCATTGTAGAATCCTTCCAGTGAACCCATAGCCTTGGAGCTTTGCAAGCAGATGGCTATGATTTATCTTGTCAAAAGCTTTACTAAAGTCAATGTAAATGGCATCAACTTGATTTCTTCGACCAAAGGCTTCCAACACCAGACACTGGAGGGATAAAAGATTCGTCACAATGGAGCGACCGGAGGTAAAGCCATGCTGCTCATCAATTATGATATGTTTAAATAAAGGCTGTACGATGTCTAAAATAAGCCCTTCAAAAACTTTACTGAGGACGGACTGGATTACTATGGGCCTGTAATTTGTAACATCACAACGATCACCGGCTTTGAAGATTGGAACCACATGACCATATTTCAGTGTGGAGGGAAATGTGCAGTTGGGCAACTGTTGCGCGACTCAAAATTGCATGTGTGCGCCTGGCCTAAGCCTCCTACCATTTTAGTTTGTTTCAAACTTAGCCTAAGTATGGCCCCATGAGAAATAGGCTAGGTCGTATAGGTGGACCTAGCCTAGTTCCCTATTGTCTCTTGTTTAAGCATATTCAAACTGCAATGTTCTTAACTTACAGTAGGCCTACAACCCATTTAATCTTTCACCTAAATGGGGCCAGGACCTTGCCTGGAACAATGAAAGGTAACTTATGCTATAAAAACTTTATTACCTACTGGCATTTTTTTATGCTTAAAAAATATTTTTGCTACAGTTGTCTGAAAGTTTGTACCTAGCATTTCTGCTAAAACCAATTTATCCCAGCCTAGGTTGTTGTACGAGCGCCATTCCTCCGGTAGTCGGACTCCTCGCTTAATCCAACCGTGCCATCGCCTATCGGTGATAATGTTATCTTTACCATGGTATATATTAATATCGTAATTTTTTTCCATGGTCTTGTGGACATCACCGTCTCACGCAATCGTGACAAACATCTTATGTACATAACTTATCCCCCTTGGACACAGAAACTAATTTCATTCCTCTTAGGTCCTTATGTTCAGATATAGCGAAAACATCATAAGCCGCTAGTTTTTGTCAAAGAAACAGTCAAGGAGCTACGGAATCAAGAATTCCTCTGTCTTGTTTCTTGCTGGCCCTGGTAGGATTAGCCACAAATCTTACCTCTCTCATCTCACCGAAATCACAGAAAACATAGGCTACTATAACCCAGAATGCCAACCGCATGGTAAAAAGCATTTAGTGTTTTGAGAGAGCGCTTTGCCTGTCAATCTGTAGGCAGCGCCACCAGCGTTGCTATGCACTCAGCATAGCAACTGATGACATACATACATGATACATGATCTCTCCGTCCGTAGTCCTTTGCCTTAAGGAATTGGACAGGTCAGGGTTAATACAAAGAATAACCAGCTTAATACTAATTTTTGTCACCGTCTAGGTAACTGTCTATGTCCTCTAAACTTAACTCTACTAGATATTTTTTTAATTCTGATTTGAATTTTGTTAAGCTCTGAATTTCAACCTGACTGATGTGTTTTATTACGTTTATCGTTTTAGTGTTAAAAATCAAAAGTAGTGATATACGTGGTGCATTATAAGAAGATTTTTTAAGTGATTTTGAAGGGCTGGTTGATGATCCTGAAGAAGTAGGTCGTGATATTGATGTAAGTTATCAGCCAGATTCCTATCTATGGTTATGCTATGCATTCTTAGCTAAACGCTATGTACCGAAATCCGTTTTTTGCCCATAACTTATTTATTTGCAAACCTACTTCCTTATATTATCATATACCTATTTGGAATCCTCATAAAATTCTGAACAAAGTGGCTATTTAAAAATATTTGTAGACCTATTTAAATTAGCCTATAACAATTTATTGAGCGCAAACATAATTTTTTAAATTTATTTTATAATTTTTGAGAAATGTTAACCCCACAAAAATTTTTGAACATTTTTTTTGTAATGTTTTATACGTTACATTGAAGCCCATAATTTTCCAAAGTATACTTTAAGTTTCTAAGATACATCTAGATAAAACCCTGCGATTGCACAATAAATGGGCGAACATTAAGACCAAAACTAGAGACACTTGGAGCCACACCTCATAATATTTTTAACCCATTGGCATACTTAGGCCTTATCATTTCTGTCTCGTCGCTCTGGCATTCCTAGACGGAACTGCTCCATCCTGGGACATTGCTACTTAATTTAGTCCTACATTAAATTCCAATGGATCGCAGCATTTGCTTGGTTAATAATATTTTTCTGTCTCTGCAATATAACTATTTTTAGTTTCTTTGGTTGCCTAACCTGTTTTGGAAAAAAATATTAGCCTACATGAGTAGGCCTAAACCACAAGTGAGTGTTTGGAGTTTGGAGGTTTGTTATGTTCTGTCTGTGACAAAATGCTGCGACTGTCTTACGATTGAGTGAAATAGTCTGGTATTGTAGTCTATTTAGTCTTGGTAGACCAATAAAACTTGGCAGGAAAGCGGCCCAGATGTTATTGGGAGACCAAAATCTAGCGGGAATTCAAACTCTGAAAGTGAATGATGACCAAATTTAAATTTGTGCACACAAGGACCGAAGAGGATAAATGATTGCAAACCGTAACCTCGTCTTTCTGAGGAGGAAGATAGTAAGTTTTAAGACAAATAAATATGAAAGTAGGGGCCTAATACCTAGTTGTTTTTGTAAGTCACTAAAGAAAAAAAAATTCTTGTATGTAATCAGATGCAATTTTATTGTGACAATGGGCTTATAGGTAAAATCACTAAACTAAAATTCCATGTAGGCTATCTATAATGTATAAAAATATCATATAGGCTATTTAAGAGTTTTTGTCAGACTTCTTATGTGTTTTTAAGGCTTGTGTGAGAGAGAGAGAGAACTTTATTACATAAGCATTTCGAGCTTAGAAATAGTGTCACAAAAGTAGGGATAAAATACATGTTTTTTGTGTGTTTTTTTTATGTCTTTGGCTTTTTAAAAAAAAGTGGCATTCTTCTACACTCTTATACATCGTGCTTCAAACTCTTCATTGTCCCTGGGTTGCAGGCATTGATGTCCATTGGGAGAAGGTTAAAAAGTCTGGACCCAGCATTGAATGGCTTCTTAGAGAATCTGGAGCTTTGGTGGACGGGAAGGTTGAAATTAGTTAAAATAAGTGGCAAATTAGTTGATCTGTATACTGTACTGATGTTTTTCTTTTAGAACAAAGAACACACGTTTCGCGGCCACACTGGAAGTGTTGACCAACTGTGTTGGCATGCATCCAACCCTGAGTTGCTTAGCACAGCTAGTGGTGATAAGACTGTTAGAATATGGGATGCCAGGGCCCAGAGGTCTGCAGCTACCATCAATACTAAAGGTCAGTATTACGGTACTGGTAATGACAGTGATTGGCTTACTCAGAACTCCCTGCAACCTAATATTTTGAGGATGGGTAGCTTTTCATTTCTAGAAGTCCTTAGAGCTTATAGGCCCGTAAAAGTACACAAGTCCCACGTCAACCAATTCTTGTTTCGTAAAGTATGAAATAGGCTAATGTAAAAAGTATAGGCCTACATATTATTTAATTATTAGAAGGAAATAGTCAGTAGAAAAGAAAATCGGCTGAAAAAAATGACTGAAAAGACCCCAAGCAAACTTCCTCCCATGTGGTACTGATGTTGGTACCTACTCTAGAACCTTGATAACAAGTCACTCTTGGGAATTGTCAAATAAGACTGTTGTGAAGGGTGACTTGTTATTGAGGTTTTACTGTATTACTAGGAGGGATCCAAGTTCGTAACAATGCCAGCAATGGAGCAATGTATTAGAGACCCTTTATTCCACAGACACAAGGAAGGTCTTATTCGTAGTGACGGTACCACCAAACACAAAAATGTTCTCTTTATGACTCGTCCACTATCATACATTCGTTTGCCAAATTTTGCCCTGACGATTTTAACTACTGCCAGAGGCCAGGTCCGCTTTTATAAACGGTCAGACTGGGCACATGCCCAGGGACGCCGGTGGCTGAGGGGCGCCTGGCAGGCACTGCACGTCCATCTACTGCCCGCACTAGGAAAAAAGGGGGGCACTGCTTTTGAGTTTGTCCAGGGCTCCATTGACCCTTAACGCGGCCTGGCCAGAGGCCCTCCAATTTACTCAAAATGGTCCACCATGTAGTTGATAAACACCTCTCAGAAACAAATTTACCAATCCATGATGATATGCTTGAAAAATCCAACTCCTCACTAATGAAATCTTAAGTCTTGACAAGAAAGTTTAAGGTGTTTGTAGCATGATGGCATACAATAAAACTATCTGTTTGACGGATAATTTACTGTGATCCATGGAGGAACCAGCCAACCGGGTATGCAACCTAGTCTTGGCAAAGAGTCATCATTCTAACATACACCCAAATACACATTAGTTAATTATAATAATTCTGTACATGTGTGGTGTTAATGGTGAGTCGTGACTGATTATTTCAATAATTTTCTTTCCAGGAGAAAACATAAATATAACCTGGGCACCTGATGGAAACACAATAGCCGTTGGCAATAAAGAAGATCTTGTCTCTTTTATTGATTCTCGAACACACAAAATCAAAACTGAGGAGCAGTTTAGTTTTGAAGTCAATGAAATTTCATGGAACAATCAGAGTTCCTTATTTTTTTTGACAAATGGACAAGGCTGCGTTCATATTTTGAGGTAGGCCTAAAGATATTTCTTTAAAATTAAACATAACCAAGAAAAGAATAACATTTCAGTTGCAAATATAATGTAATTAATTGTAATAAAAATAATAATCTACAACTGTACAAACCCATCATTCCCGGCCACCATTGGACCAACCCTAAGGCCGTAATACTAATATAGAACCGATAATATATGTTCTTAATAAAAATAATGTGTGAACAAATAAATATAGCAAGTTTCTTTTGGGGTTTTCTCGTAAAAATACACCTTTTTTTAAATTAGTAAAACATTTATTCGAAGAAAAAGTTGTATTTAATGATGTATTAGGATAGCACAGGTTGACTTGCTTGCCATCGCACCACATACAGCGCTATTGTACCTGTTGAAGATTTATGGTTGCAAAGGAACTATTAAGGTGACCAATAATTAATGTTGGTCACCTATATATTTCCTCCACAACCAGAAATATTTGTCCTCCAAATGGAAACCTATGTGGATACAGGACTTGCTGCAGAACAAAATCTACACATCAAGAGTCCTGACGTACCAAGGAGTCATCGCCATTGTCAGTGTTTGTTTTTATACAATTTGGCTTTTTCTCTTTGTAAGAATATGTTAAAGGTTTTTTTTTTAAATGTTAACAGTAAAACCTCACTAAATCGACAGTCTGTCTAACTCTACAGTCAACAGCTGACATGGCGCATGTCTAGCTGGCTTTGAATTATTAGTGCGTTCGACCGACTTTTCAAGCATCTTTTTCAGAACAATTATGAATAATTGTTGAATGTTCTACATTTCTTTAAGATTGTTTAATTTTTTGCGCTCATTTTTTAACCTATTTTAACCCTAGAGCTGGCAGTCATTTTACTCTGTAGTGGCAAGGGTTTGTTAGGCGCCGCGCAACCATTTTTTAAAACATATACAGGGTGTCTCAGACCACCCGGCCGGCTTGTATAGCTCCAATATGAAAGCAAATGGAAACCTAATTGCAACTGGAACCCCCTATTTTGACCCCAAGGAATTCAGCTAAATTATTTTCAACCCCAAAAAAGCACCCCAAAGGACAGATTTTGGGGGATGGGGGTGGTTTTTGGGAAATTTTCAAATGTAAAGGGGGGTCGTGTTATACCTCTTTTTAAAGGTCCTTTAGTCCTGAGTATTTTAGTGGAAAAAGATTTAAATTATCTTCATCCCTATTTACAGGGTGTTCAAAAACGTACAAAAAATAGACCTTTGAACTACTTTTCACTGTAAAGAGGTGGAATTTCGTGGGGGGTTCAAATTTTGATAACACTTTAATTAATAAATGAGCTTTCAAAAAACTCTGGTTTCAACCCTTTTGCTATCTTTTTACTTATGTTACACATTTTCAAACTTTTTTAAGTTTCAAAAGCTGTTATCTCAAAAATTTCAAATGGCAACATGGGTTTCATTACAAACCACATTGTAGCCCTTAAAATTTGCTATTTTAAGTTTTGTATTTAATGTTTTTTGGTATCTTCATTGGTTAAAGAGATATAGCAAAATTAGTGTATTTTAATTTTTTATTAAATGGTATTCAAAGTGTTTGCTGTTGTAAATGTACACCACTAGGTCTCAATTAAAACAAGATCTTGTCTAAAAAAATAAAATAGTACTCAGATTGTTGATCTTGGAAGATTGATAAAGGAAAGAACACAACTGCAAATATTCTTAGTTATTTTACAATTTCATGGCTCTAATAGTGCTTTGAATGAATAATTTGTTTGAATCAGCATTAATAGCCTACATACCGATGGACTTCTACAAATGCTTAAATTGCCTTCCATTTTGTTCCATGCAAACCCCAACTCTGTTTATGCACGTAGTACTTCTTCTCCACTATTATGGTACTATATTGCTATTTTACTACCGCAGGTGCATTCACCTCTTTTACAGATCCAGTAAGTTCCTTATAATTTGTTTTATCTTATCAAACGTGACCAGTTTCACGCACACGCTCATTGATTTCGTGATGATTTTTTTTATTTACCAGTAGCATTTATAGACAGTATTCATTCAAAGCAATTAGAACTTTGTAATTGTAAAATAACTAAGAATATTTGCAGTTGTGTTTTTTTTCCTTTATTAATCCTCCAAAGTTTAACAATCTGGGTAGTATTTTAATTTTTTAACATAATTAGTTTTAATTGAGACCTAGACGTGTACATTTACAACAGCAAACACTTTGAATACCATTTAATAAAAAATTAAAATACACTAATTTTGCTATATCTCTTTAACCAATGAAGATACCAAAAAACATTAAATACAAAACTTATAGCAAATTTTAAGGGCTACAATGTGGTTTGTAATGAAACCCATGTTGCCATTTGAAATTTTTGAGATAACAGCTTTTGAAACTTAAAAAAGTTTGAAAATGTGTAACATAAGTAAAAAGATAGCAAAAGGGTTGAAACCAGAGTTTTTTGAAAGCTCATTTATTAATTAAAGTGTTATCAAAATTTGAACCCCCCACGAAATTCCACCTCTTTACAGTGAAAAGTAGTTCAAAGGTCTATTTTTTGTACGTTTTTGAACACCCTGTAAATAGGGATGAAGATAATTTAAATCTTTTTCCACTAAAATACTCAGGACTAAAGGACCTTTAAAAAGAGGTATAACACGACCCCCCTTTACATTTGAAAATTTCCCAAAAACCACCCCCACCCCCCAAAATCTGTCCTTTGGGGTGCTTTTTTGGGGTTGAAAATAATTTAGCTGAATTCCTTGGGGTCAAAATAGGGGGTTCCAGTTGCAATTAGGTTTCCATTTGCTTTCATATTGGAGCTATACAAGCCGGCCGGGTGGTCTGAGACACCCTGTATAAATAACCCAGAAAACACATTATATTATATATAATTTTTTTCAGCAAAAAACAAGGAATAATATTATATAAATTTTAGATATGAAATTTTAATTTACAAAAAGATTTTTTAGTATATTTACTAAGCAGACACTTTTTTTATATATATGCATATATAATTCCGTAATATAACACAAATCAATGAACTCAAAAAAAATTTCAAAATATACAAATTGTGCAGAATTCTATGAGGAAAAGAATGATATATAATACATGTACCTTGTTTCTAAAAATAAAGTACATATAACAGTTTTTATTACCATATACATATTCGGTGTACAACCTACACTAGGCCTAGTACTTGAATTGCATGACTCCTCGCTACTTAGAATTGGAACTCACTAGATCGGTCACAGTAGTTACAATCATTCATCTTAAAGTAAAATCAACTCACATTTCAATAAAAAATAAAACTTATAACAAAAAAACACCGAAACTAACCAAACACAACACGAAATAAACAACAACAGACGCTGGTAATAAGCTATTGCGTTACTGTTTAAAGTTATTTTCCTAATTTACTGTTTCTAACAGCTGGTCTTATAACTTTTTTATATCATGTTTGTTTACTTTTTGTTCAGTTGAAGAAATACAGTCCACTAAGAAACATCTAGTTTTTCTCTCTTTATTATCTATCTACATCTATCTTTCAATCTAAGTTTATCCATCTACAGTATCTAAATTCTTTAAACAGTTACAATGACAATGTCGTCAGCTGACGCTTTATTTTCATAGAATTTTAAGTTTTCCCAAAGGCATATAAACAGTTGAAATGCACATCAATTAATTGACAGATTATTCATTTCTGAACCGAATAAATAATACTATATTAAGTGATTTTTTTTTCATTTTCGTGACAAAATCGGCAGTTTCCGTTGTAAATGGGCCCGATATCGAGCGCTGCCGTTTTGGCCGTGGCGTAAATCGCCCGATATCGGCCGCATGCCAGCTCGAGGGTTAATTTATAAAATGATTCTGCACATGTGGTGAACTATAATTTTGTCATATGTCATCATTAATTAACAAACAAAGCTAACCTCTCAAAACGACTTCCAGCTTGTTTTCAATTCTGCTAATGCAAATAAGTAGCTGTTTAGTAAGTGATTCAATCAATTTCGTCTGTTACGATTGTGTTACAGTACATTATACCATCGATATGTCAAGCAATCAGGCTGAAACCTTACCTAATAAATCAATCAATAAATAATTTCGTTGATACGAATCAAAATTCACAATATTGAGCTCAATATTGTTAACAGCTGATTTTTTTTCCCATAGAGAGTAAAAATGCTACTTAAGACCCGTAACACATGCATTAAAAACGGCTGTTTTTGCTGCAGTATGGTGAAAATTACATTTATTGTTATTAGTTATTACGTTACAATAAATTACAATTATTGCTAAATAATAAATACTGTACTTTATGTGCATTAAAATAGTTTTATTTTGCTTCCACAGTTACTCTTCAGTACGTATTAATAGTTTTGAGTTCAATTTATAAAGGTTTAGCATGTAAAAGTTAAGTTATAAAGGCCGTGATGTAACATCACTGTCATACCCCAACACCTTAGTGTCTCAGACTTTTTCGAATATCACCTTCATAACTCTAACCTCACTTGCTTGAAAAACTTAATTCAAATTTTTATCATACGGCTTCAGATTCTAGATATTGAGGTCAACTGTATTAATTTTGTGTTGTCATTATGCCTCTGATATATTTGAATTAATGTGGGCAAAATGAAAAAGTAAAACCTTTCTGCCAACTTGTATAAGTTATGAAATAGGCATAACCAGTAAATACCCCCGCCGCAGCAAACCTGCAGACTTAGCGAATTTCCATCTGCCTGATTGGATTTAAACTAAAATGTCTCCTTAAAATATCACATTTATTCCCTATTTTAACAGAATTAGTTTAATGAGTACTTAGGTTTGCTGCAACAAAACAAGTTTTCCTGTAAACAAGTTTTTTTAATGTAAAATATTAAAAGGTACTGTGGTTTAGTAAGAAATGAATGTATTTTCCAAATTTGATCAAAATATGTTCATAAACAAGCAAACTACAACAGTTGACTTATTCTCCATAAGAATAACATGGGAATTTTAAAATTACAATTTCTTTGAATTTTCT